AAAAAAATTCGGGTTCACCAAGGGGCAGTTTTGGAAAAAAGAAAAAGATGAGTTGACCGGCTTTTTTTATAATTTTTGCCTACAAATAGAACATTTTGTATTTTACCTAAAAATTTAAGATCCGTATATAAATTACTCTGTTTACTAATATGTATTTCACATAATTTGTCATAGAGTGTATTTGAGTCTTAGACCATTCATTCTATCGAGTTAAATATCTTGTTGTGTATTCCTCAAAACCCAGGATACTCCAAAGTCACCCGAGCATGTTTCCTTTGCAAGATCATATCTCATATCTCTATCTCCGGTGCCACTTTATAAGAAAACCTTATATTTGGATGATGCTTAGAGCTTAAAGGCAATGCTTTGCAAAGAGATCTCCTTAATCTCTTTTATGAGTTTTGCATTATGCATCCGTATGTACCTCAAAACCCTAAAATGTGATTAACTTTAGCTGTTGAGAGAAAAATCCCGTTTTCTCTAGCCTTTGGTGAAAGGAAAAATAGAAAAATCTATCTAAGATTTGAAAACTCGTTGCTTGAGCTCTTACACTCTTCTGGTTCAATTCCCAAGGTACTTTCTTGGAAGGTTTCATCTCTGTCTTCATTAGCGGGCTCAGATAAAACCAAGGACACTAATAAGGGGGGAGGGAGAGAGGATTTCTGGTAATCAATATGAGAAAGAGAGAGAGAGCATTTTGGGCTAGGAGTATAGGAATTAAAGATGATCAAGATAGATGAGTGTTTTGGGTGTCGGTTTCAGGGTTAAAAAGAACTTTCATAACATGGTGTATGTACAATACACATGACTATTCCGTATAATTAAATAGTACACATAACCGTCACGAAATACAAAATAAATGTCGTCATTTTTTTCTGGGGTGGTCATCCCAAAAACCTTTTATGGAACTACTAATAATGCACTTGTAAGCTTAATTCATGGGGAAGATTCACGTTTTATATTTCTCTAGTTGAAAAAGTATATTCACACTCAAAAGTTTGTGTTAGGAACTCGAAATCCAGGAATTGCCGATATGGATCGGGAACTGTTTTGGGATGAACCATCAGGAACCAATCCAACTCCATTGTCGATCGCATATACCATCATCGAACTCGTGAAATTATTAGGGAATTGGACAATTGACCAGTTCCCACATATTATATTAATTTTTAATTATTATTTTTTAAAAATTTTTTATTTTTTATAGACTAATTTATTGGGTTTATGTGATCATTAAAGCCCTTATGAGAACATATAATCAATATCTGATATAGTGGAACAAAGAATTCCAGTGGGAGTATGTTCCAGAGTGACCAAGAGACTATGGCCTAGAGGGATCAAGAGATTGTGATCCAGAGGGACCAAGAGATTATGTTCTAGAAGGATCGAAATTAACTAAGTTATTGCACAACCAATGAGGGTTTAGCAAGGTCATCCCCAGGGTAGTGAGTTAAGGGATTGCGTAACTTTTGTGTATGATGGTAGGCCTATAGAGATGAGGGCCAAAGACTCATCATTGAACCATCACATGGCATGTACCTATGATAACCGTATCTGGAAAGAGAGTCACCATTGACGGTGATATGTGTACATGTATGAGTGATGACCCCTATACACCATAGAATTGTAGTTGCACCAGGTCTGTATGACCTTGGACTTGTTTCGAGAGGAGAACTCGTAATTCATAGATTATGATTGTGTCTCATCACCTATTGGTTAACTTTCGTAGCCTAATCATGAACACCTGCGATGGTGAACTACTGGGTTAGTTTAAGAAAGTGAGTGTGGACTATAATCAGTAGTAGAAGATGGAGTGCTTCAACAAATTAATAATTCCTAGGACTAGTTGGATTTGAATCCCAACAAAATTATTTAGAATTAATTATTTTGATGTTAAATCATTTTTAGATTGATAGTTTGAATTTTTAGAAATCTCTAAATATTTTATTTCCTCAAAATGGATTTATAAATAGAGAGAAACTGAATTTTTAGTACTTTAAATACTCCAAGAGAAAAATAAAACAATAACCTTTTTCTAAAACCATTTCTTTGTTTTAAACTTAATACTACACATGGGGGCCCATTGTACTCCATAGGCCCCACTAAAATAAAGCATGTGGAGAGCTGCATGAGGCCCACTTGGGGCTCCATAAGGAGCATGCCCCACATAAGAGGGAACATTCCTATTCTAGTGGCTTATGAAAGAAGCCATGCACTTTTGATTGAAATTAATGGAAAATGTTTTGCATAGATTTTGATTGTAACAAGGAAGGAAAGTTTTGAAAGTTGAGAGAATTGAATTTCAAGTTAAAGTATGTGTAAGAAGATTACGTAAAAGAAAGGCAAATATAATAAATTTTACATATTAATTTTATTTGATGGATTAGATTAAGGAAGCTGAAAGATAAAGTTTTTAGACCTTCCTTTTAATCATGATGGTTGATGTAACGATTGTATGACTTATATCTCTCACCCTATAGTATCCTTTGATTAATGGTCTGGATATAAGCTCCAAAATGATGGCTAACTCTAAGAAATCCTAACCCTAAAGAAACTTCATAAATAGGGGCTATTTATGTACAAAATTTCTACACTTCTCATCTCTTGCTTGATCTCTCTAGATCATCTCTCTCCCTTATCCAAGAGAGGGGCATACACCCACCTAGTCCAAGAGAGGGGTACGCCCCATATCCTAAGGTATTGAGGCCTAGTTTATATTGCATATTCTACATTTGCTCTCATATTGATTAAGGGTTGTAGCCTATGGTTTCCCATGCTTTAAAGATCCGAGATAGACCATTGATCCCCTATGCCATTGGAGGAGGAGACCCGGAATGGGGTGTGCAAAGTCCAGTTGAGGTAATCTTGTAGAAATTTATTTTGTTTATGCTGTTTATGTTTTATGATCCCAAGATCAAGTTTATGCAATTTGTTTTTTGCAATAAAGATTTGTTAAAATGGAAGTAATTGAAGAGTCCTTACGATTCTTTGTGTTTTTTTTCATTAAATATTTGGACATATGTAAGTAATCTTTCACAATTCTCATATTAGGTAATCGATCGATTGGGCAATTCATCGATTCATATTTGTTTCCAAGATGGTTGTTTGCCCCAAAAAATCTAGATTTGAGATACTGGTTTATACCATACACTTTCCTTTTTCAGGATGGGTAATGAGTCGGGTAAACCCGCCAACCCAATAGATCGGGTCGACATGCCAATCCGATGGATCAGGTCGACCTAGCAATCCGATCAGTCGACTTGACTTGGGTTTGGGTATACGTCTAGGTTCAGGTCTAGAAGTGGGTACCAACATAAGGTTGGCTCAACATATACACGACCCATCCCAACCTGAAAAGTCTTCCCAATGCCTGTAGGTGAAAATGAACAGTGATTTTGCCTACCCCTCATCACCGTCCAAAGTTCATCAGACGGCCACGATTGTCTGATAGTGTTTCATTTTTTATGTTTTTTCTACTATTCAGAATGATGTGAAATTTGCAGCGCGTGTACATCTCAATGAGGCGCACCTAATAAAAATATAAAACCAATAATTCGCTAAAACAATTTGACCAAAATATCCTTGAAAATTTTTAGGGGTATTTTGGTCAATTTATTTCGTGAAAAATATTGTTCGTAGATTCACCTATTTTTTATGAACATGCTCCAAGTTTCAAATCATTCCGATTTGTAGAAAAAAATGAAAAATTAAATACTATCCGATAATCTTGACCGTGCGATGCACTTTAGACGGTGATGAGGGTAGGTGAAATCACTGTTCATTTTTGCCTATATGTGTTTTGTAGTATACATATATGACCCTCATCACCATTTATTTTTTCCTATAGGCGTTTTGTAGTATATATATATATATATACGTGTGGGAGACAAGGCACGACAGGGGTATAGGG